CTACTGTATGCGTGGGACAATGTCAGTGACTCATCACTGACATGCAACATTGCTTCTTGCAATGTCCTGTTAACACAGTGAGATGATGTCTCATCGAACCCACTTTACCATTATCTCAACCATGTCTTCCTCCAACGTCCGTCCAATCTGCCCACCTGACTTCTGGACTTCAACCTGCGCTGACAAACCCTGATGCATTTCCCCTCCTTGCTGTCTTTCCCACCTTTCCACTCACTGTCTCGGGTCTCCTTTCCTTATTAAGAAGAAATGTCATAGGTGTTTGGCAAACCTTTAGAGCCCTAATCTTTCTGACTGTCCTGCTGCTGTGCTACGAAACAACAGGAATATTTGCAGTTCACCTGCTGAACATGAACTAGTCTGTGAGGAGTGTTCTGCACACTTAAACTGATGCATTGCAACAAACCACAAACATGTCTGTCACAATGCATTGAATTGGATTTGTTGTCTTCGCCTGCAAAATTTCCAGTTCTTCAATACGATGGAAATGTTATTACATTAATTTATAGTGTGAGGCCAGGCCTCATATCCATTTACCTCCCTGACAGTCTGATCATTCTTCTAATAAAGCAACACTTCTGGCACTGGGGATGCACCATCTGGATATTAGGTCTATTCATGGATAAAACAGGGTGTTAGCACTGTAAAATTACATCAAAGCTGCAGTACAGAGTCACTGATAACATGGCATGAATCAAAGCGAGGGTGATTCTCTGTCGCTTTCACACACAGAAAGATGTCAGATCTTTGTAATGAAGAAAAATGGAGTCTGTTGCAATCACTCTTGTCCTGTGACCCCAAAGTAATGCTCTGAGTATATAAAGTAATGTATTAAATTGGCACTGTGCTGTGTGATACATACAGCCCTGCACTATGAATTCATATTGACCATAAATAGCAGTGGCTTCTTGACATAAGAACATTTCCCCAAGTCTTGACATTGGAAGTTTAGAGGAAGAGAGTGAATAAAAAGGAGGCGAGAAGGTGAAGACGACAAGAACGGAAGAGGAGCAGGGGACAGATCTGCGTTGCACTTTGTAAAACAACATGAAAAAGACTTGATTATAGGGTGAGCAGAGGGAGAGGAGGGATGAATTACATGGAGATGAAGAGAGTGAGGCATAGGAGGGAGGGAGGCAGAGGTACCAAGAAGGAGGGAGGCGGCTTCAGAAAGCAAAAGAGAGGGAGATTCAGAGATTTTCATTTCTATCACAGTGCTCTTAAAGCACACCATCATTACATTCACCAAATACCTACAAGTTATTCTGATCCAGTGTGCAAGATATACAAAAAGAGGTGAGGCTAAGCAGGAAAAACATGTCACTATGGTGTATACTCGTCTCACTCTTTGATATCCATACAAACCATGTATTTCTGATCCACTGTGACCCAATTCTAAAAGTTGATTTTAACTTTGAGCCTATTTGGTTTGCTCTGATGTTAATAGTACTAGTACTAGTAATAGTACTAATTAGTACAGTGTTAATTCGACATTTTTAAGTTTAGTCTTCATTTTACAACAAAAAGGTGTATCAGTTTTAGTCACATTCTAGTTATTTGATTGATTTGTCTAGTTTTAGTCAAGAAAAAATTCAGTGCAGCTTTTCATCAGTTTTCATGTATTTTTTAATTCTTGAGTCTGCTAAGATGTCTGAGGTTTGTCACCATCTTACAGTTGTATAGTTACCGTGGAGACAAATGTTCTCGTCTAATGCATTGTTTAGTGTTAACTAAAATACTACCCACTACATAGGTACAGCTTGAGATGAGTTGAGACGTTGGACAACGTTAGCGCAGCAATATCCCTTTGGCGAACATTTAGAGATTTGACTGGTTGACAGGCTTCATTAATCCTGCACTCATTGCTATGGATATGGACAGTCAGCATGAAAATTAGCCAGCTTACATGTTAGTGTTCCAGCCGCATCCACAGCCCTTGATGATGCTTCATGAGCTTACTTTTTCAAAAATAAATATTAGCTTGATGACTTGCCTGTTTTCATGGTTTGTTCCAGCTGCTTTTTTTTGACATGTTTTGGTGTATTTTGAGAAGGATTGTGGATTCTGTTACATTTTTCCTTCCAAAACCCACTTACGTTAGCTGATGCTAACTAATAAAATGCTGCGTATTAGCACAAGTCATGTAGCTAATTAACCCTTGAATTAATTTCAAAGTATCATTTACACTTCACTTACACTGTTTTTTTTTTATTTAATTTTTCTTGTGAAAAAAAGGTTGTCAGTGCTTTACAGCATAGTTTTCGATGGTAAAATTAATGCTGCAATAGTAAATGGTGCCCTTAGTTAAGCTAACCAAAATGAATAAAGACACTATACTAACAGCAGCATAGCAAAGTTTTTTATTTGGCACTGTGCAACAGAGTTTAAATCTAGTTTTATCATTTTTTGAAGAGTTTCTATGTTTTTGAATTGAGTGGCAACAATCATAGCCATACCTGCATTACATGTGGTCTAGTGTAATAATAGCCCTCAGGTCAGTAAACAAGCCGTGGAACGGCAGGTGATGGATTCGTATCTCACACAACAGCTGGTGAATCCATGGAGGGGGGGTGGGGTGGGGTGGCGCGTTTGTAGCTCCCCGCTCCCTCAGTAACTGGGTCAAGGTTAATATATCCTTGAGTGAGGCGCACGCAAACTGGTTTGGTCATAAAAACAGGCTGTTCAGCGTCTGGTTTGAGCGTGCTTCTCCCTGATTGGTCAGGAGGTAATTGATAAAGGTGTCGCTAATTAAGTGGCTGCTTCCCCGTCGTTAGAAACCAGATGTGTTGATTTTGGTCAGGAAAGCTGGGGCCTTTAAAAAAAAAAGGATTTTTCTCATAAAATGAGGAAAAATATTAGTTTCATATGGTTTTATATTAAACTCTAAATGTGGTGATATAATTCATTTCATCCTATTTAATTAACCCTTGACCAATTTATATGCTGCTTTTCCTTTTTTGTGTTAGATAAAATAAAACAGCCCTTCCCAGCTGTAGTAGCTGCTGTAACTGTTAAAACTAGGCCTCAGGGGCAGTGAAAGGTGTAAATATCATTAATATCAGAGATCAATGAAGGTACAGGTTTCTCGACAGAATGTGGAGGGATTTTATACAACTGTTGACTTACTGTAAAACTTGTGGCCATAATTTGGATGGCAACAAAATTTAACAAGGCTCATGGTGTGTGTGTGTGTGCACACGCAGAGCAGACAGACAGGGGATGAGTCTATGGAACAGTAGGTGAGTACCAGAGGAGACAGGGAAACTATAGCTGAAGATGATGCGCCAGTTACGCTTGGTATAAACTAGCACTAATTAAGATTGAAAAGCTGGCAGTACTAATAAGATGCGGATATGTGGGGCTATAACTGCAATTTTATGTGATTTATCAAATGCAGACGTGTTACATAACTGTCCAATAGAATGAGTAATTTACTGCAAATTGTGGTGGGAAAACTACAATTTTTTTCAACACCACACCACAGAGTATAATCAGCCACAATCAGCACACCCGTCAACTGATTTCTTCTGTTTATGGAACCACTGATTGGCCCTAATTAATTTTCCAAGTTGATAATCTGTATTTAAAATTGAAAAATTTTAATGCAGAAAACCTAAACTTTTGCGACAGAAACTTTTATGTCTCACATCTATGTCAGCGTATAACACCAACGCAAAGCCCTGACATGCTCTCATACATCACCGCAAACCAGATGCTGAGAATTTACATAAAGACGCTTCACGCAACTTGGATGAATCATACAGGTATCTGTATGTGTGTAAACTGTAAATGCCAACGAGACACTCTAGAGAAGGACAGTTAGCCAGTTGCTCAAACCACTGTTTTCCCATTCAAGCTAGCTGTTGAAAAGGTGTAAAGGAATCCATCTGTCCGAGCTGCTTATCCAATCTTTACTCCACTCGAGTGTAACTGCGTCGGTAAGTGGTCGGTGGAAGTTGCCACTGACAGGGTCTTGCCCTCGTGATTATGGGACCTGAAGTTACACTAAAATTACACTGGAATTATGCGACCCTTCCTGTCAGAAGAGACAGGGAGAAAGTACTTTCAGAGAGTTCAGTGCTTGTGGTCCAAGTAGGGACATCATTCCACAGACTTTTATACAGAAAGCTGTAATGGTGAAGTACGCGAACACACGTTGCACTTGCAATCATAGAGTGATGCTAAGCATATCAAAAAGACAACAGACTCGTTTCAGAGTGCAGTGATCACACAAAATCTGTCTCACATTTGGTCTCTGGACTGGAGTGAGATGCACCCAGATCTACATCGCGCACAGAAAAACCAAGGCAAATGCATGATAAGTGAATGAAAGTGTATTAAATTAAATGGCCAGTGTTATTCTACATATTCTTATTGTGACCAAATCCCATTAAAAGAGAAAAACCAACAGAAACCCACAAAAGACGTAAATAAAACAAAGATATAGTTTTAAAGGCTAAAACAGCTGGGCTCTGTAGTTTTTAACTAACGTATTTCAGCTGCGGCATAATACACATTGGGCGCGCTAGTCAGTATTAATAGCTGCAGGACGGTGTGTGTGAGATTGACTCAAAATAGACTACACTTCCCATATATATGGTAATGAGGGAACAAGTCACTCACACTGCAACACTGTGGCTTATTGGAGTGTTTTTAATAGTTTTTGGACAACAATGGTGGCCATACGAACAGAGGAGTGAGCTATATTAGGCTCTAGCCACACAGACAACACTTAGTAGGGCGCATTCATTGCTGGTTTTTTGTCTTTTCATGGGATTTGTAGACTATAAGGCAATTATAGAATACTGCCGGTCTTATTATTGCATCTGGATTTTGAGATGTGACACTGGAAATGCAAGTGTAAATGGGGGCCTTGGAGATCAGTGCTAACTCCAGAAATCCAGCCAGTGATTGTTTGTCTGGACATATACGAAAGAGATTCGACAAGGGTGCAGAAATAGTACAAGAAAATGTTTTCTTACTCTGGACAGATCCCCAACCTCCAGGTAAAAACAGATGATGAAAACATTCCAGGTCATCCACACTACGAGCCAGGCTGCGTACTGCCGAGAGAGAGACAGGGGGGGGGGGGGCAGTGAGAGGCAATCACGATTTGACAGGCCTTTGCTGGAGAATTAAAAAAGCACATTCATGTCTTACTTTCAGAGTGAGCAAGATGTTTGATGTCTTTTGATGTTGTTAAGATGAAGAGAAACTTCTTCATTTCATTATCATTTATTATCTGAATCTTCTTACTAAATATTCTGTGTGTGTGTGTGTGTGTGTATGTATATGTGTGTGTGTGTGTGTGTGTGTGTGTATATGTGTGTGTGTGTGTGTGTGTGTGTGTGTGTGTGTGTGTGAAGGTCTTTGGCAGGGGTCAGCGGGCTGCATGGAGCCCTGCAGCCACGATGCGAACCTCTGCAAGTTTTCTGAAATATAAATTATTTTATCGACAGCTGCTAGAAACAGACAAGTGGAACACATAATTCCACTTGGCAAGATATTCTTCCTCCCACACCATATCACTGTTCTAACCTCTTATTTACTATATACATAATATATTCAAATTGACATTGTCTTCTGGAGCCAGCGTTAGAAAATAATTCAATAATTAAGGACGAGTGGGTCATATTTCTTGTTATATATGAACAGTTTGCTCTAGCTATGAATGAAATGTATTGAACATAGTAGATAGGATCAGTTAAGATGTTAAACATTATATCTAACATTGTTCTGTTCACACAGTGAAGTTATGATACAATTTTCATGGATGGCAGCGCTATGAAATCTAAAAATCACAAATTAAACTAAATTCCAGTGAGACAGACAAGAGGCTGTCGCTGAAAGGGTGTGTAAAATGGCTGTTTCCAAAGAATGAGTGTATATGTGTATATATCTGTGTGTGTGTGTGTGTGTGTGTGTGTGTGTGTGTGTGTATGTTAAACTCACCCCTGTGACATATCTTGGCCTGAACTGGATCGTGCCAAACAGACCCAGGATGACGACAATGATGTGGAGGAAGTTGGTCAGGATGGGAGCCCACTGGTAGCCAAGGAAATCTATCACCTGACGCTCCAACACACTGACCTGAGAGGAGGAGGAGGAAGAAGAGGAAGAGGAGGAGGAAGAGAGAGGAGAGTTTCAGTACATTTTCAAGCAAAAATGTCAAACATATAAAGGTTTCACCCGCTTAAAAGTGAGAATTAGCTGCTGTTCTTTCCCATATATGATATTTACCTAAACATTTATATGTTTATGATTGTTGGTTGGACAAAAACAGACACTCTGAAGACATCAACCTGGGCTCTGGGATCTGGGAAATGGGACCACACCAGCCACAACTACCATCAACATGTTGATATTCCGACCCACGAGTAATCATTACCACAAAATCCCTACATTACTAGATGAGTAGCCTACTCGGTACTCAGTACTCAGTACTATGCCTGGGTTGGACCACAGCTGTCTTAGAACTCAGACTTCATTTTGTCTTAACTACACACCTGTAAAGTTTTGTGACTGTATCTTGCAGGTTGTGACACTATCACATTGAAAAAAATCCATCCACAGACAACACATAAACACCTGCCACAGTATACTCAAAACTGCCTGTGCTAGTTCCCGCTACGGCACGTCTCTGTGGGATCACATTTTGTCACAATGACACACACACACACACACACACACACAGACACACACACACAGACTCACAGGGTGACAACAGTACCACCACATGCTGTCACAGCTGTAAATGGTTTTATATCATCTTATATTGAGCCTGTTTAGGATCTTTGGGAAACTTATGGTTAATGAGAATTCAAACGATGACCAAGTCTAGTCCCTAACAATGGACTTACTGAGCACATGGGGGTTGTATTTACAATTAGCGTCTTGATCATAGCGAAGTAAACCGTAATCAGTTATCTATGCATTTGGGTTAGGTTCCCAGGGCTGCGTGTGAGTGTGCGAGAGGTTATTATCGCTCAGTCACTGGAGCTTCATGCTGAGATACGTAGTTAATGAAGTCAGCAGAGTATGATATGGCTCTGCTAAATATATTAACACAGACACACACACACACACATATATGTACAGAGTGAGAGAGAGAGAGAGAGAGAGAGAGGGGAAAAGAGAAAGCAAGAGAAAAAGAAAAATGTACATTAATAGATAGATAGGAAGATAGATAGAAAGACAAGGATAGCATTATTAGCCTCATTTAGAAAAGAGACATTAACTGTTGTACACGATCAGCTATAGGTGTTTAAAGACCAAAAGCTTCATCTCAAATCAAGGGCCTTATATTCTGTTATTCTCCCCCTTTTCTCCAAACACACACAAACACACACACACACACACACACACACACACACACACACACTTCTGGATGGCTGAGTTTAGAGTGCCCTAATGTGAGACCATATGGCAACACTACAGCCTTTCACAGCCAGATAGCAGGTACACAAATACACAGACACACACATAAATACACACACTTAATAAAAACTCACATAAACTGTAACCTTGTATAAACTGCACCTCTCCAACATTAGTTCTAAATGTGAGAATGTTTATTTGATGTGAGATTTACATGAGGAAGCTGTATGAAAGAGTGTGCGGTGTGCCGGCAAATGTGCGTCCACCCGTTTGTGTGCGTGCGTGTGTGTGTGTGTGTGTGTGTGTGTATGTGTGTTTCCATGTCAGGGCAGGTCTGCTGTGCTTGCACTTGACAGCACCTGCTGTTATTGGACACACTGGGCTCAGCTGGCACCACAATGTGTGAGAGTGAGCGTGTGTGAATGTGTGTGTGTGTGTGTGTGTGAGAGAGAGACATTGCTTCTTTGTCTTTGACAGACTCCGTCTCTGTGTGTTTCTTTGTGTATCGGCTTCGTTTTATTATGTAAAAGTGTGTCCTCCCATTGACAATTATATAGTGCTGCGGTTGTGCCTCTCTCACAAACGCACACATACACATACAGAGGCTATTATAAGAAGTCAGAGGCCTCCCAGCCCATTACTGAGGCCCCTGGGGGCCTCTCTTTCATCGCCAATAATATAAACAGTCTTCACTCCAGCTGGGACACACACGCAGTCCCCAAAAAGACACACGATCAATCACACAAACAGAGGAGAGAGAATTTGATAGGAGGGATAAAGAATTTGTTTGTACACTATAGGTAACATCCACATTGGTTTGTCCTGGTTATTACAACACTCATCCTTTACGGTCAGTGAGCAAAAACTAATTTTTAAAAAAAAATTTTTTATGGATCTTTATTGTCCAAACATAGTTAATATGGAAGCCAATAAAGAGCAATATTCAAAACCAGACCATCTGTTCCTTCACACCACACCCACCTTTTGATGTCAAATTCTCATTACATGGCTCAGCTGCAAAACAACTAACTTCTCCTGACATGCAAAAGACAAAGCATGTATAGAAGCCCTCACTGCCGTAATCCCAGCATCCTTTGCATGTGTCAAATGACAGAAGCTACAAAATAAGGTGTGAAATCACCCGGCCTTTCAACAGCTATTACTCTGGGGGGGGAGAGATGCAGAGAGATATGAACAGAGCATAGTCACTAGCAGCATCTATGTTAGCAGATATGGCAGTTTTGTGATATGTGCAGCTGATGAAAGCTTCAGCGTTGTACAGGTGGAGCTTCAAGCTGGCTAGCCGGGTCCTTTGGGATCTGCTGCGACAGGCTTTGATGCTGCCGACAGAGATGTTTATTTCAGTTCTGCTGCTTAAAGCACAAGGGCAGAGGCATGTTCACATTCAGCTGCTCTATCTTGGTATATACTGCACTGTGCATCCACCTGTGGACACAGCAAATTAGTCATATTAGTTCTATTTTACAGAGCGTTTTCTTTGTCCATCATAAAGCTGATAATGCTGGGCAGTGGCTATTTAAAACTATTTTTTTTTAGAGCTAAACAAACACTGAAGTTCACAGAGAATGTCTTTAAAGAATCAATGAATGCACATGCTGCACAGTATCTATCTGTGTGTGTGTGCTTCATAAAATATAGACAACAATTTGGTATGCAGCCTTCTGTCAATCTGTGTAATACTAGCACAGAATCCCTCAGGGACCAAGAATGTTTATTCCTCCTACTGCTTTGTTAGCATACACTGATGCTCGTGCTCTTCTCTGCATGAGTTTCCCAAATGCAGCAGCATTTAGCTGAGTGACTAACTAAAGAGCTACAGTGGATCCATCACTGTCCGGTTGTCCATTCTCACAGCCTCCTTGTATAATGTGGCCAAAACGGTTTAGTTTTGTAGTGGCACTGAAAAAAACATTTCTGTGCTTCAGTTAAAGAAAAAGTTAACTGACTGTAAAAGAGCTTGTTACCATTTGCTTTGCCTGTACTGCTGGACAATTAATTGTTTTTACATAAAATGCGCAATCTTCTTATTTGAAGTGCTGCCATTTTATATAATTAACAATGTATTAACAAGCTTAACAGATTTTTTTAGCAGCTGCAATGACATTGACACTGGCTTTACCCAGCTGTTGCTAATTAACACTGATTCTGTATGTGACTGGTTAACATACCGTCTAAATGCTGCAGTCATACATGTTTGACAGAAACAGACAGTGGACTTGTGGAGTGGAGTCTTTTTACTGTTCAAAAACACCGACACAGCGGTGGTCTTGACAGACAGACACCTGGCTAGAATGGAGGTCAATAGCTGTCAAGTGTAACTCACGGACATAACTGTCAAATTGTTTTTTAAGGACATCATATTATTTTAAGCTAATCACCTTAAAAAGCTCTGACTCAAGATCTCCAGAATTCAGGGCTATGAAGCAGTAAGCTAATGTTAGCTTAAGCAGCTACAGAGAAAAGCTATGCTGCACAAACCTGTCCAAAACCAGCAGCCTGTCTGTCATTGTTACCTTAGCTGGACAACAACATAAGGGTATTCAATAAATACAACACCACATTTGATTGTCATATATTTAAATGTTATTGAGTAATGTTAAGAATACCACTGACACTGATGCTACTGCAGTATCTCAATAAATGTAATAAATGTGGGCTAAAGTTTTTCCACAGAGTACGAGCCAAGTTTACTTTGATGTTGAACTTGGAATGGTTTAAACCTTGGAACCTTGGAATCCTTCCAAGTTTCAAAAACAAAACAACTGTTCCGTGTAAAATTATGTATGTAGAAAAATTACAAGATATTTTCCTCAAATCGACCTTCCCTAGTTTTGACTAGATGGTATAATTCACTATGAGGATTTAATTGTTTCTGTTTTCAGAAATGTTTCCGGTTGAAAGTTTCACCCAGACTGTCAATAGTGCCGCACCCAACAGCGATGTCACCGTGTACTGACACACCCTGGAGTACACGTCTACATCACTGCATCAAAACGAGAGGGTGAAGCACTGGAGCTCAGCAAAAACAAGATTTTCCAGCGGGTGTTTAAATTGCTCTTTAAAACAGCAGAGAGAGCCAGAAATTGGTCATTTACAGTGGTAGAGGCAGGATTTCAAAAAACAAAAATAAGTACCTGTGCATGTGTACCATTTCTATACACCACGGGCGAACACATTCTGCCACAGGCACCACAGACAAGCAGCTGAAGTGATAAAGAAAGACACTCACACTCAAACACTTAGGGAATAGATTGGCAGCAGAAAGATGGGGGTGATGAAAGGGACAGTAGAGAGAAGCAGAGGAGAAAATCTTCAGTGAGTTTGGGAAAGATTTTGGTCTATTTGATAATGAAAGATAGAATGATATCAAAGAATTATTATTGCTCCAGACAGGGAGACAGCTGCACTCTGTGACCATTACGAGACACTGCAGAGCGATAAAAGTGTCTTTTATCTTAACAGAAGAAGAGGACAGAGGAGAGAGGAGAGAGAATAAGAAGACGAGGGACAGAGAGAGACAGGCCGAGAGATCTGATGAGAGGGCCTGAAGGGATGGAGAGGTGATTAAGATCTGACGGTTACTCATGGAAGAGAAGAAAATGACAGAGAGACAGTGGGTGAGAGAAGTGAAAATGTCTCATCTTCTGTCCCTCTGCCACTCCATTCCTCCCTCCTTACCTTCTTCCCTCTCC